ATGAATTGCTGAATTTTAATAATGTTAAAAAGTTATTTATTTTTTTTGTTTCCTTGAAGTCTCTTATTGATGTTTTCATTTGTTAATTATTTCTAATCGCATATTCATTTACTTTTAATTCTATTTCATCTGTTTAAATATTCTTTCTTTAATTTATTGTCTTACTTAGGAAGATGCTTATTATTCTATGCCTATCGCCTTTCAAAGAAAAGAATAAGAAGAGATTGAAATGCATGCAAGACAGATAAATTTACAGACATTTTCACAAAATTGATTTTCTCTTTCAGAATACTTTGTTTTATATTTCAATAATAATAATTGACTTGAGATATTTTTCGGATAGAATTGAGTCATAAAAATAACAAATTTTACAAAGAAAACAAATATTTTCCAACCATTTACTTTAATTTGTAAAGATTTCTTTTTTTACATTATTCATTATGAAAGAATATCAACTGATTTGTTTACTATTCTGTCTTGCCAATGAAATTGTTGGACTGTTAGTTGAAATACAATTGAAAATTGTTTGTTCGGAATTTTTAGTAGATGTTGGTGTAAGTTGAGAACAAATCAAAAGAAAATTCTATCAATTAGAATAAAAACAGTGAAGGACACAAATATTAAAATTTCTGGTCAAATAATTGAATGTTTACCATTAAAATTTGATGGTACAAGTGCAAGAGAACAAGATAATAAATGAATAATCACATATTTTGCAATAAAATAATGATTATTCTGATAAATATTTCTATATTCATTAATCAACCTTCAGATATTTAAAAAAGCAAAAAAATATGAAGAGGAATGCCAATTAGATTAAGAAAAAAAACATACGAAGGACATTCGTCGGGTTACTAGTGTTTTATCAAGTTTATGGTCTTTTTTAATTCAAACTGAATTCTAAAATAAAAAAAACCCACAGGAACTTCTTCTGAATCAGATGTTTCTCGCTTGGTACTACGTTGTATCATTTAAAACCTTTAGTCCCGTATGTTTCCGCAAACTCTCGCCAAGTCCCGCCTTAGTCCCATGTACTACGAGACTAAAATCTATAGTTCCCAAAATCCCAAGCTTACCCTCCCCTCCCCTCCCCCCTCTAGACTCACATTTCAGTTTGAAATCAAGTATTATTTTTATTTGATACATTCAGACTGAAACCAAATAGACCATTGTATGGTTTTATCCAGGTTTTTTTTCTCTGGAGGGGCGATATGAAATTCTGAGGGGGCGAGAAACTATTTTCGGGAGGGCTAGTCGTGTGTTCGTAGTGCGATGATCACAAGTCTCGAGGGGGTGAACGAGATTTGAGGGGGGAGCCCCCCCCCCCCCGCGGGCACCCCTCTAGATAAAACACTGTGGGTTGCTCATGATGATAAATTAATCCTATTAGTCGTTTTTATTCGATTCTCTACGTAAGTCTTATTTGTATAATTCATACTTTATTCTTTCTAATATTTTGATCTTCTTCTATGAAATATTAAAGATGAATTTTCTTTCTATTTTCAGATTTTATTTCAAAAATATTTTATAGTAATCAATAGATTTTTGCATGAGAAAAATATTCTTGTAATTTTTGTAATTTAAAATGTTCATTAACTCTTTTCCCGAATACTGTAAGATGAATAATTTTCGAAGAATTAAAACGTGTTTCATCTCTTGTAAAATCGTTGGTTACTTTTTGTAATGAATTAAAACCTACACGAAGATGAATATTATTTGATAAACAAATTTTTGTCTTGTTTAAAAATTCATCAAGATAATCTTCATGAGTTTTAACAAGATCAATTTCAATAAGATGAAAATATTTAATTATTGATTGTCGAAGATGATTATTATGTTGTGATTCATAATTATGTATAGTCAATTTTTTAACAAATGGAAATGATTGAGTAATTCGAAGAAAAAATTCATGTTCAAAAGGGCGATCATCATATAATGATATTTCACGAACAGATTTATATAATCCATCATGAAAATTATTTGTTATATTATGATAAAATTTCCATATATATGGATATGAATATACATGATAATAGAATAGTTTTATTCGTTCAAAATAATCAATATTTGAAATAATTTTATTATTTTTAAAATTTCGAAATGAATATTTAATATCTTCATTCATTGGTACATTATTAATCAATTGATTAAGATGAATAACTGAACAAATATTAAATGTGAATTTGTTTAATCGTGTCATATGATTAATAATATTATTTTCCAAATTATAACCATCAATAATTGGTCCATACATATTAATAAAATATAAATTAAGTTCTTCTAAATTTATCATCCTTTGTAATAATGGTACCAATATATCATCATACATGTATGTTCCATCTTCATAAATTAGCGAAAAGTATTTTAATTTAGGTAGTTCCTTCTAAGTACATAAAAAGAAAAAAGTTATTCATCGAAAAAGAGACCAAAATAGATGCGTAGCTTACATAGTTGCCAACTATATTTCCATCATATGTATTATAAGACTGGATGGTAACATAAAATGTATGTAATTGATTGAACTGACCATCAAGAATACAAAGACAATCAAGGATATTTCTTACTACAACATGTAATTCTAATAAATTTGAAGAGAATTGAGTTGGAGCTGTACTCAAAAATATCAATTGTTCATAATTAGAATATGAACTAAAATTCAAGTATCGTAGATTGTTGAATAGAATACATATTCTAATAAATATAAATATATTATTATCCTGTGTTGTATATCTTAATTTATCTATTTGCTGTTTATGCGGTTTCAACTTGATAAAAATTGATGATATTTGATTTTGAAATTGATTAACCAAATAACTCCCATCTAAAGAAAAAAAAATTCTATTAAACTATTTTCTAGTTATTAACTTCAAAATCTAGTATATTCTCTTTTCTTTATTCATAAACAATTAATTGTTCAATGATCGTCAATTAAATTCTTTAGTAGACTGTAATGTATTCTTCCAAACCATGTTTTTTTGTATCTCAATCTTTGCAGAGGCGGCGTGAAGAGGTCAGAGCAAAGGGGAGGGGGCACAGTGGACAACCAGGCGACAAAATCGATTTTCGAGATTAGAGCTCATATCGTAGCTAGCATTGAAACTGCTGTGATCCTGCATTTAACTGCAACCCGGATAATGATTGAAAGCAAGTATCGATTAAGTTGCAAGCGCCATAAACTACGTAAAATAGGTGAATATCATTAATAGGATCATTTAAGTAAAATGTATATTTTCAATCGAGAATCTAGTTATATACGTTAGTTATTATGTAGTTATACAGTGTTGTGTATTTACTATATGTTACAGACTGTTTCGACTTCTTGAAGTTCTTTAGGCTATAATAAAATCAAAAACGTACCATCAGTATAATAAAAAAATAGCTAGTGGCCCATAATACCGTTCGTTTGCGGGATATGGCAGAAGTTTAAATTGAAGTGTTATTTTATCGTTTGATAGAATGTGTTATAATCTATCTTCAGTAGACATATCATTGAACCCTTGTCAAGATATTTGACATTTTGCGGCACAACACTGTGGTTTTCCTCAGATTCATCTGAAAAATCAACTTTCGAATTTCGACTTGAAACTTTGCGCAGAGAGGTCTTAATGAGACTAATTTATTTTGAACGTTTCAAATCTCTTGGTTGCTCCTATCCAGGATTGTCGATTGTTTTCAACAGTGAGAGGAACTAAAAATTTGGCAGAAAGTCTAAAACTTGTCACAGAAAGACCGAAGCGGATAGGCGTTACTTTCCCCCTGCGTTTGAGAAAATATGAATGACTTCAGAGTTACGATTTGGCCGATCTCCGACTCCGAAAGTAGGTCCTGATATACGAAGTTCTCCTAAAAAGTGAAGTTGAAGAGCAAAAAAAAAGGTCTTCAGTCGCGGCTTTTGAAGAAACCCGAGTAATCTTTCTCCATTTTCGATAATACCATCCTCTGCTCCAGTGAAAATAGTCAGGTTTCTGCCAGAATTTTCTTTCAAGTTTCAAAAAATTTGCCAGAAAATTTTTGAAATTTGGCAGAAAGACTCTGAAAATTGCCGCGGGAAAGCTCCCGGCATCCCCCGCCCCCCTAATCGGTAAGCCTGCTCCTATCCGTAAATATGAATATTTAATATCTTGTGCTATAAGTTACGCGAAAAAGACTATTTTTACCATACCCGTATATTGAGTTAGAAGCAACCCAAAAGCCCAAAACATTCCGAGTAAACTAAACCCATTGAGACCTTTCTCTGCGCAAAATTTGAAAGTTGATATTTCTGGTGTACCTGAGGGGGCCACGGCTTTTTGATAAAAAATGCCGTAAAAACTAAATATCTGAACAGAAATGAGCTACAAGCGCGAACTATTTTCAGGATATTCATACCTCATTAGAGCCTACATAATGCATAGTCTTGAATCAAAAGCTATTTGGCATCTGGGGGGGGACTGCTCCTGACTAAGAGTGTGCGGGACCGGGACCAGCTCCTGACAAGACGGTCACGGTACCCGTTGTCAAAAGTACCTTGTTTGCGATATTCGCTATCGATTTTTCCACAAAACGGACAGAACAAAAAGATTGACTGTGAATAAGATTGCTTCACGAGCCTTACAGGGGAAAAATACCGATGCTTACTATCGATTCACAAAGTTTGTTTTTAAATTTCACAGCTGACCGGGACCAAACTGCCGTGACCGGGACTGTTTTTAGAAAATGAACCGGGACCGGGACCAAAAAAGTTCAGTCTGCACACTCCTACTCCTGACTCCCCTTTTCTGCCCACTGTGGGGGGGAAAGGAGTATCGAAAACGGAGAAAGATAAAAAAAAATTCTTTTTCCTGACCCGATTTCTGAAAAAATCCTCCGCATATTTCCTGAAAAACCAAACCTGAACACTTCTTCACCTTGGTATTTCAGGAGAACTTCGTATATCCCAATCTAGTTTTAGAGTCCGAGATCGTGCCTCTCAAGCAAGTGGAGGACATAGGGAAGTCCAAAACAGGAGAAAGGAAAGCCCAAAATCGGAGAATATCAGTCATATTTTTCCAAACGCAGGGGATACCTCCCTTCCCCCTCTTGAATGTTTGTGTTTTCTTTTAACTTATGTCTTTATATGTTGAATTTTTTCCAAATTGATATTCACCAATTAATGTTAAAAATAAAAACAATGTCTGTAATAATCAAATTGTGATTGTTTAAAAAATAATTTGTCTTGTATGATTAATCATTGAAAGAGTATAGAAAAGAAATATCTTACCATAAAAGAGTGTATCAGCTGTTTCAGGTTCACATTCATATAAATCAAGTGCATGTAAATTAGGATAATTTGTTGCCAAAAGAATACGTTTAATAAATGATGATTCAATACAAAGTCGTTCGATTTTGTCATTGATTTTAGGTAAAATTTCAAGACAAAATCGATCAATTATTATATTAAATTGATATGATGATTTATGAATATATTTTATTAATGATAAATTTCTTGTAAAAATTCTATCGTAGAGAATTGTATCAAGTCTTTGATTAAGACCCATAAAAGAATAAAGTACATCACAATTGTTTAATTTTTGAAAAATAATTAGAAGAATTTCATCTGGTAAATCTTCAAGTCGAACACATAAATGTTCCATGTTTATGCTTGTCATTTTTTTTTTGAATGCATATCCATAGATTATCTGTTCTATCTGACCGATGTCGTCAACGAAAACAATGAACATTTGTGTGCTTAGTCTAAATTGACCATCAATGAACGAATAAACGATTGAATAATTTTTTTTTCCCTTCTTTTATTCAACACTTAGAGGTCAACACACATCAAAAAGTAAATAAAATGAATTTTATTTTAAATGAACAACTTCTATATACCAAATAGTTCACTCACCAATCAGATCGGAAAACATGTCTTTCTGTCTAATACCTGTGACAAACGTTCAGATTTATTTATTTCGGAATCTAATAAAATCATAGGTGTATATGCTTTGATAAAAAAAAAGTTTGTATTACGTAAGAGACGATACGTCTGCTTTCTTATTGGAAAAAAGTATTAGACATGATTGATACGTTAACATAAATTGATTTAAAACAGGATTGCTATCTCTTCTACTATTTCGCCTTTCCTATGATTTTTCCATTAATTCCGCTTTTCAATACAAAAATAAAATTCATTTTCAATAATGGCTAAAAAAACAAAATGCGAATGCTGATAAATTAATGCATTGTTTTAATTCTATTCAAATTATTATTTCCTAAATTTGACATAATAAAAATTTGTGTTTACAATTCAGCATTAAATTTTTTCTGTTTCTTCATAAAATTCGTCACTCGTGCGTTTAGATGATATGATTAGAAAATCTTTTCTATGAATTTTTATATAAGACGTTTTAATATACAAGAGAATGATTTCTACGAGAAGACACGTTGTCTCAGATTCTACCTTTTTTTGTACTTCTACACATAGAGAAAAGTTTTTTTTTAAAGAAAGTATACTCTACATAAAGTAGTGGCCCCAGAGTATTATTATAGTAGATGATGATCATTCATCTTTATAGTTTATCATTGTCATTGATCAGACGGTTACATAAAATGATACTTTTTCTCAATTGCTGAGCTCGAAAAATTGAATTTCTCGATTTTATTTTTAGTTTTTAATAGTATATTGAAATGTTTCCCTGTAAAATAGTTTTAAAGGATCTTTTCAACTGTGCTTTCTACTGCTTTAGATCAAAATATTTGACTTGATGAGATGAATAACTCTGCCTAAAAAAAGATGATTTAAGTCTGTTTTAACTTTGAGTTGAACTTTTTTCTTTCCAATATTTCAAAATCTTGAGCAAGAAAGTCATGCACATTGGATATCTTGAGACAAGACATCTTAGGTCGAGACGAATGGAGTCAAAAGGCGTTCGAAACGGGCGAACGTACGAAAACGTGTTTGGAACGCTACGAACGCGTTCTGAACGAACGAACATTATCGAACGCGTTCTGAACGCATTTCGATATATTCGGTCGTTGAGAAGACGTTGTCGAACCATTTGTCTCCACTTGAGAAATGATTAGAAAAAAAAATGCGTTCGTGATTATGTAGAACGCGTTCCCAACAGAGCAGAGGATGCATTCGGAACGCGCGAACATCTTACGATCTACGCATTACGAACGCGTTCTCGGTCCGTTCGTCTCGACCTAGGATAATACTTTTAGAAAGGTAAAACTCTTGCTTATCGTATCCATATACTTGGAATCTTTTTCAAATATTTCTATTTATTACTCAAGCAGATGTAATATGCTTCTGTCAATGAAAATACGATTTCTTTTTCATGTTTCATTCATTCATTCATTCATTCATTCATTCATTGTATGTACTTCGTCTCAGGGTAAAACTGTTAAAAAATAAATATCTAGAATTTTAAACAAAAAATCTAAGAAGATTTATTCGTTTGGGAATTTTCATATTTGATTAGAGTCTATATTGTACACAAAGTTCAAACTTTATAAGTGAGTGAACAGTTAAAAGCGTTTACTTCTTAAGCGTATTTCACATATTTCTACCGTGTTGAATAGATGATAAATACACATGATTGTTCACATAGTAAATGTCTGTAATTCTTCAGTATACGAATATGCAGTATCTTAATTCTTTGTGTCAATATAGAAGAAAATATTTATTGTGAACAGGGAGAAAACTTTTGTCGAGTACTAAACACTTGTAAGGTATTGGAATAAAACATCTATTTTCAAGAGATCGCTATCGAAATATTTTATTATTTGATTTGTTATTTAAATAACAACTAATAGATACCATAATCGAGATCAGTTATATTGATATTAGATATCCAAATGTATATGTGTAGTTTATTCTTGTCAATTTGAATCAAGATATTAGTAGGATATGTCGACACCGACACCAATACTGTCGACATAAACTGCGCGTGAGGGAACGACTTCCACTGTCATCCTCACTCTCACTCTCAACCTGAGGGTGAAAGTGAAAGTCGTTCCCTTCACCCACAGTTTACGTCGACAGTATTGATGTTGGTGTCGACGTATCCTACTAATACCTTGAATCAATTATCTTCTATTTCATCAATCGAATCGGATCGAATTCGAATCGAGATTTTTCATTTCGTTTCGGTTTCTGGTGCTGACAAGCTTTTTTTTTATTAAAGCTACTATTTTACCTTCTACTTGGGACAGAGAATATCTTAAAAATTCTGTATTACCAAAGTTAAATTTGATATCAAACCAGATTTTATCAGATTTTGCTTCGTTGGATCCTACCAACGATTTTCTAGCTCTTTCTTTTTGTTCTTGCATCTTACTATTAAAGTTAGCAAGATCAATTGAAATATGTGTACTCTTCAATATATCTTCCGTTAGATTGACAGGAAAGCCGTAATTATCATATAATTTGAACGATGTCTCACTAGAGAAAACAGATTTTGGGGATAGAGCTTTTATTTTATTGTCAAGTAGTTTTAAACCACGCGCTATAGTTGCTTTAAACCTTATTTCTTCTTGTTCTAAAATATTACTAATGAGAGATGTTGCTCTTTTTGATTCAGGGTAAGCATTACCCACAAGTTCTACTAATTTTAGTAGTAATTTATGCATTAAAGTCTCTGAGCTACCAAATAGATGTGCGTGCCTTATACTTCTACGCACAATGCGCCTTAATATATCTTCTCATAGAGATAAGAAATCTTAGTGAATATATATTTTCAAACTGATGATCTATTAACGTATATTCATAAAGATGTCTCTATAATGAACAACATTTATGTTTTTATGTTGTACTTGATTTAGAATTTTTATATCCAAATAAAATTATTTATTGAGACAATTTACTTTTGGATCGACAAGATTACTTTAAAATTGCAGAGTAAAATCTTTTATCTTAGTTTTGATCTTTCCAAAGAACATGTTGATTACGGTTAGAGATGTAACAATACCAATACGGTATTGGGGTATTGGTATATGGGGGGGGGGGGGGGCGAAGAGCTAGTAATTCCTTAGGTCAATCTGAATGTATCGAGAAACTGATCATGGGTTTGGATTCCTCAACCTCGAAAAATCTTTGATCAAATTTTATAAAAAATCATTATTTTCTTCAAATAAACGTATTCCTGATAAAAAAATCAAGAATTTATAATTATCTTCTCAAATTTTGCGACTTTGATTTTTTCATCAGGAACACGTTATTTGGAGAAAATAACGATTTTTTATATAAAGTGATCAAAGGTTGTCGGGGTCGAGGATTCCGAATCTGTGATCAGTTTTTTGATACATTCAGATTGACCTGAGGGACTACCAGTCCCCATCCTGCCCCATATAGTGATACCAATACCAATACCAATACCACCAATACGAATACCATTTGGTATTGGTGGTATTGGTATTGGAATATTCCTAATTATAGTGAGATCTAGGGAACTGCAGAGTAGTTCTAGTCCCGCCGGGACCGGGACTAAAACTTTTTCGCACTGATTCCGGTCAGTTGATTTTTGTCAAGCATTGTAGTATACATTTTCATACTGTTTCAATTAAAAATTTGTCAAGTGACGGTTTTTTGTTTGAAAATCTGACGAAAATTTATTACAGATCACGATACCGTTAACAATAGTCAAATTTTATTTGTAAATTTAAGGAAAATCTTCAGTTTTTATACCTGTGAAAATGGAAAATTTTATCCATAGTAAAGACCGAGACTGAAAAAAAATCTTAGCCGGGACTGAGACTCAAAAGAAATTTTTGGTCAGGACCAAAAAAAGTTATTTTGCAGCTTCCCTAGTGAGATCACAAGTACACTTTGCTGTTCATCAAAAGTAAATTTATAATTGTTCTTTTTTTTCGTTATTTGTTTTTCAATCTGATTTTAGTTTTTGGCATCTGAAATACTTGCTGAATCTCTGTTTATCTGAACTGTTGATTAATGGACTTAAAATAATTAATTATGATATTTGTTTGATTTTTAATTTGATGAAATGTTAGTCAGAGAATCTTTTTTAAGACGAAGAAGATTTTTAATTGAATATAAAAATAAAGAAGACAAATTTGTGAAATATCTTTCAGTATGATTTTTCATGCATTATTTTCTTGAATTTATTTAAAGTTTCTTTGGAAAGATGTTTGCGTATAGATAAGATATTAATGAACATAATGTTATTGATGTCTAACAACCATAGTTTTTTTTTTTTTTTATATAGTTCATTTTTATTGAATTATTTATTATTAAACAAAATTCTCTTATATCTTTTTTTTTAAGAATATCATATGGGAAGATATGTTGACAAAAAAAGAAACAAAAATATCTTTTGTTTTTTATAATTTCAAATTAGAATTTCTATTTTTAATAGATTTTCTCTTATTATTTTTCAGCAAAAATTCTTGTCCAATACATAACGTTAGATCAAGACGTATCTTGAAAGATTTGATTATGTAAATCAATGGAAAATTGTTAGATATTAAACTTGATTTTATTTTTAATTTCTTCTAGTATATCAATTAAAGTTACTGATTATCATTTATCATATTGATATTACAATGAAATAAATTGTATATAAAAATCAAGATTTAGTTTTATTAGGATATTATCTTATGTATGTGTAATGTTAGGTAGAATGATTGTTTCTCTTTTATGTTGTTATTATTAGTGAAGTTATTTTATTAGTTTAGATAAAGTAGATAGAGAAAATACATTTAATGAAAGAATTTATGAGAAAAAAATTTTTTTTTTTTTGAAAGAAAAGTTAATGTTTATTTTATAGTTTATGTTTAATGATAATAATCAATTGTTGCATTATGAAAATATTTTATTAAATTTTCGTTAATTAAATCTTCTTTATCATTTTTTAATTTGAGATAATTTATTTTTGAACAATTTGTTCGATATTCATCTTTTGTAAAATTATTTGTTTGTCTTAATAATGATTTATATGATATATTAAGATAAATACCATTTAATAAACATGTTTTATTATTATTAAGAAATTCTTCAATATAATTATCATGAGATTGAATAAGATCAATATTGAGAAGATTATTATATTTAATTGGTATTTGTTGACAATTAATATTTTTTTGTATTTCATTATTACGTAAAATTAATCTACTAAAATATGGAAATGATTGAGCAATAAGAAGAAAAAAATCGTGTTCGAATGGTTGTTCATCAAATAATGATATTATACGAACAGATTTAAATAAACCACCACGAAAATTATTTGATATATGATGATAAAAATCCCATGTGTATGGATGTGAATAAATATGAGAATAAAGTAATCGTGTACGTTCAAAATAATCAATATTTGATATCATTTCAGAATTTTGAAACTTTTTAGATGAATGTTTAATATTTTCATTTGATGATAAATAATGTTGATTACCAAGATAAGTTAATGATCCAATATTAAAAATAAATTTTTTTAATTTAGGTATATTATCAATAAATTCAACTTTTAATATATGTTCATCGATTATTGGTAAAGTAGTTTTAATAAAATGTATATGAAATTCTTCTAAATTAATCATACGATGTAAAAGTGGTATCAGACCACGATCATAATTTAATATTTTATTTTTGTATCTAATAGAAAAACATTTTATATTAGAAATTTCAATCTAAAAAATGAATTTATATTAATTAATAATTGGAATAAAACAAAATTACTTCTACATGATCTGTTGATGGTAAATCACCAGTACCACAAATGATAATATAAAATTTTTGTAATTGATTGAAACTTCCATCTAATATATAAAGACAATCATTAAAATGATTAACTGTAACATATAATTGAGTAATATTAGATGAAAAAGAAATAACTTCTCTAAAATCAAATGTTAATTGTTGATTATTTATAAATAAATAAAATTGTAAAGATATTAAATTTTGAAACATTGTAGAACATTTTTTGAATAAATCTTGTAATATTTCTCTGTGTTCAAGTATATCATATTCACCAAATGTATTGATAATTGGTTTTAAAATTCTTCGAGATTTTATCATCAATTTTTCAATTTTTTGACCAAATATTTTTATAAACAAGCTTCCATCTAAACAAAAAAAAAATTAAATATTCAAAATTATTCCATTTTTTATTTTTTAATAAATAATAATTGAGCAAAAGTAACAATTAACTTTACCAATAAATATATTAATTGATTCTTGTAATGAAGTATAAATAGTAACTTGTTTTAAATTTGGATAATTTGCTCGATCAATAATATTTTCTATAATTAATGAATCAATATTAATACATTTAATATTATTTTCAATCATTGGTATTATTTCATATACACTTTCTAATATTTTATTATCAAATGATATTAATGAATCATTATTAATTATTAATGTTAAATTATTTTTTAAAAAATAATTCTTAATAATTGAATTAAATCTTTCATTAATATCATAAAACGAATACAGTATATCATAATGACTTAAATATTTTAACATTTTAACAAGAATTTCATTTGGTAAATTGTTTAATTCATTAAATGAAGGATTCATTTTAAATATTAATAAAATATTTTCTTTTCAAACTAATATATTTATCGTTAATCTAAAGCAAAGACACACAAATTAGAAATGTGTTATGACTAAATTTTTTTTTTGACAAGATTTGATAAAATATATAAAGAAAATTACTCTTTATCGATCTTTGTTCTAAGATTTTTTTTCAAAAAATGACAAATAACAAGAGAAAATATCGTCGTAGATGATATTGTAGCGACCTCTTTTTTGTGTACTCAAAAAGTGAGTACACTCTAGAATCGGTCAGTGTGTCCGTCCGTCCGGCCGTCCGGCCGTTAACACGATAACTTTTGAAAGGAGAGTCCAATCGCGATGAAATTTTCTGCACAGTTCAGTCTTAACAATGTCTCGGTCGAGTTCGAAGATGAGAATGATTGGCCGAACCATTGCTGAGTTATTGCAAAAATAGTCATTTTTCCCTATGAGAAGATAGACCCTTCTCTGTTTTCATAAAAAACTGTTCCTATCATAGTCAGATAAAACCCCAACTATTATATACTATTCGATAGAGAATTTCACGAGCTACAAAATGGTATATAAAACATAAAGAAACAAGAAAGCTAACTCGCCTATTGCAAAGATAATTAATCGGAATTCGGTTCTGTTTTTGTCCACGCTCTATATGATCCACAATTAGAGTTCATCTTCCCATCACAGAGATAATAGTTCGAGGTTTTCTAGAATGGAGAACTCGAATCTATGTTCCATTCGCCTCGAAATCCCATTGGTTGAGCAGTGACCAATAGAAATCAAGTTATAGGAAAAACGAGTTTCTTAGGGTAAATCAAGGTGAAGAGTTCAAATCTGAGCTGTATTTGCCTCCAAATCGTATTGACTGAGCAATAGCCAATAGAAATTAAGTGTTTACAGAAAGGGTTTGCCAGGACAATTTTGATGTTCACACATTCTAGGGTGACTCCTCTGTCTGATTCACTTTTTGAAGTACACATAACTCTCGGATTTAAATCCGAGGTTTCCACATTTATTTTTTTTAGTAAGTAAAATTTTGAAACTTGAGTTTAGACACAACAAATGAACAATTAACCAGTTTCTTTATATCTATTATCATACAAAAATTCTCGATATAAATTTAGAAAAAAAAAAACGTATTTAGACATATAATATTCTACCTACAATGTATTTATTTGCTATTGATTTGATAGATCATCATTGATGATCCATCAAGCCAGTAGTGTCAAACTTGAAAGTTGAATTCAACTATTCAACTATTAGTTCAACTATTCAATTATTGAATAATTGAAGTTTCAACTATTCAGTTATTCAATTATTGAATACTTGAAGTTTCAACTATTCAATTATTCAACTTTTGAATAGTTGAAGTTTCAACTATTCAACTATTCAACTATTCAACTATTCAACTATTCAATTATTGAATAATTGAAGTTTCAACTATTCAACTATTCAAT